GAAGCCAGGAGAGAGGCAGGAAACAGTTTCACCCTCAGAGCCCTCAGAAGGAACCAACCTTGCCCACACCTTGACCTCGGGCTTCTGGCCTCCAGAACTGGGAGAGAAGAAATGGCTGTTGCTTTAAACCTCCCAGTTTGTGGTACTTGGTAACTGCAGCCCCAGGAAACTCACACGGTGTATATATTTTCAGCTCTACCATTTGTCATTCCTCTTCTGTGAAATGCCTGCTCCTATCAATCTTCCCATTTTTTCTTTCTTTTTTTATTTATATTTTTTTATTTTTAAGATTTTATTTGTTTGACAGAGAGAGAGAGACAGCGAGAGAGGGAACACAAGCAGGGGGAAGCTGGAGAGGGAGAAGCAGGCTCACCACTGAGCAAGGAGCCCGATGCGGGGCTTGATCCCAGGATCCTGGGATCATGACCTGAGCCTAACGACTGAGCCACCCAGGCGCCCCTCTTCCCATTTTTTTTTAAGTTGGCTCCAGGCCCAACGTGGGGCTCAAACCCACGACCCCAAGATCAGGAGTTGCACGCTCCACTGACGGAGCCAGTCAGGCACCCCTCCTTTTCACTCTCTTGATGTTTTCTGATGAACACTACTTCTTAATTTTAGTATAGTCAAATTTACCATTTTCTCCTTTATGATTAATATTTTTGTGTCCTTTTTAAGAAACCTTTCTCTGCCTCCAAGACTATGGAAATATTCTCTTACATTGTCTTTTAGAAGTTGTTCTGTTTTTCACACTTTTATGGATGGTGTGAGGGGTAGGGTCAACTTTTTTTTTTTTTTCCGTAGAGATCTGCAGTTGTCCCAGTACCGTCTGTTAAGATGAACTTTCTTTTACCCACTGTCTGGAAATGCTACTTTGTTGTATACTAAGTGTCCATATAGCTGTGGATCAGTCTTGGGGCTCTCTATTTCATTCCCCTGGTCAGTTTGTCTATCCAATACCACACTGCCCCAATCACTATAGCTTCATAATAAACTGATGCCTGGTAAAGCAAGTTCTCCCACCTGTTCTTTTTCAACAGGCTCTTCTTGGGCTATTGTGTTTCCATATAAATTTTAGAATCAACTTGTCAGATTGATTAGATGATTTCTAAAATCTTGATTATTTAAAATTGTAGTGAAGTATACATAAAGTTTGCCATCTTAGCCAATTTTTTATTTTAAATTTTTTTCTTGTAAAATATCCATAATATGAAATTTACCATTTTACCCATTTTTTTTTTAAGATTTTATTTATTTGACAGTGAGAGACACAGCGAGAGAGGGAACACAAGCGGGGGGGGGGGGGGGGGAGGGAGAAGCAGGCTGGGGCTCGATCCCAGGACCCTGGGATCATGACCTGAGCCGAAGGCAGACGCTTAACGACTGAGCCACCCAAGCGCCCCTTACCCATTTTTTTTTTTTTTAAGTAGGCTCCATGCCCAGCACGAAGCCCAACACGGGGCTTGAACTCATGACCCTGAGATCCAGATCTGAGCTGAGATCAACAGTCAAACGCTTAACTGACTGAGCCGCCCAAGCGCCCCACCATTTTACCCATTTTTAAGTGTACAGTTCAGTGACATTAAATACATTCATATTGTTGGGCAACCATCACCACAGTCCATTAGCAGAACATTGTCATCATCCCAAACTCAAAGTCTGTCCCAACTAAACACTTCCTCCCCATCTCCGCCTTCCCCCAGCCCCCGGCACCCACCATTTTATTTTCTGTCTCTATGACTTGGACTACTCTAAGGACCTCAAACAAACAAGTGAAACAAATTATAAAATATGTGGCTTTTATGTTTCTCTTATTTCACTCAGCATAATATTTTCCAGATTTATTCACATTGTAACACATGTCAGAATTTCTTTCCTTGGGGCACCTGGGTGGCTCAGTTGCTAAGCGTTTGCCTTCGGCTCAGGTCATGACCCCAGGGTCCTGGGATCGAGCCCCGCATCAGGCTCCCTGCTCCGCGGGGAGCCTGCTTCTCCCTCTCCCACTCCCCCTGCTTGTGTTCCCTCTCT